CTCTAGCTGATAAGGATTTATCTGGTAAAACTAACTGGTTTGTATTATCTTATAAACTAATCTAAGTGATCAATAATGGAGACTTTTAGCTTTAAAAATGTACCCAGTTGCACTGCAGAATCCCAAAAATCAACAAAACCACTTGAAGGCAACTATGTGTTTCAGGCAAATGCATCAGTTTGTGGAGTCTGCCTACAGCATCAGAAAATTGAACACATTCTGGCTTTTATGGAGAGCAAAGACACACATGGACCTTTAATTACCTATCCTCCAAATGATGAAATAAAATTAAGAGCTCCCATCATTTTTCACTCTTAGTTTTATTATAAAAATCAACATTTCATTTGTTACAACTCAGTTTATAGTAATAATTGGAAAGGATTTTTGTACAAGGTTTATATACACCTTACAAGTAAAGCACTTTATTTTACAAAAAAAAAAGTTAGTGAATGAGTGAATAGGGCTGACCAAATGTTGGTCATTATAATATAAATACATCCTTGCAAAGCACCATCGTACCAAAGTTGATGAACAAGAGACACCAGCTGGCTTTAAGACAATGACAAACAGTGATTAAAGCTTACAAAAAAGAACAAACAAAACAAAAAAGAAAAAACCAAAAACAAGATTAAAAATCTGAAAGCAGCACCAGATCCTTCACTTGCAAACAAGGCTAGTTCAGCTTAAGCCTGGTGGTATCCTCTTTACAAAAAGACACTTTCATTTTCCCCTCGCTGACTCTTCTGTCTGGCTTAAGGCTACAGCCACTTTAATCAGGACTTCAAAGCCGCTCCTCGTTCATTGAACAGAGGGGAACAAGCCTGCTCTCCAATAGTTTCATCATAACAACCACATTGCTGACAATCCCTGGCCCCAATCGAATATGGACACTTCATTTACCCTGCCCAGTTTTGGAGTGGCTCACACAGTCCCTATAAATGCTACGCTGGCCTCATCCACTGACCTGCCATTTTTAGAGATGAAAAGGAAAGAAAATTGCCCATTTTGGATTGCTACGGTATTTTATTTTACTACTTTTAGAAAAAAATGGACTGTTTTGTACACATTTTCAAGCTATTAGGTCATTAACTTATTTTCAAGGTGTCTCTGTCACCTGTCAATGAAGCTAATTTTCAAGCAATAACCTCACCATGATGCAATTAAAAAATCCTGGGGCTAAGAATGCAATTTCTGAATAAGAATGATAAAATTATTTTTGCACCCAATGAACCACTTATTTTTTGGTTGTAGAAATAATAAGCAATTTGCTACACACATAGTACATGTTCAAAAGCAGATTCTGTCTGTAACAATATTGTGTGACAAGTATACTCAAGACAAAACATCAGGAAAAAAAAGTGATTGATTACTTTTTAAAACACAGTTTGAAGAAGTCACTTGGTTCAACAGCATGCATGACCAAGGAGTTCTGTAGTTCAAGCAGTTCCCTCTTGAATGGTGGTAATCAATTAATCCAAGGAGATTCAGCCAAGCAATAAGGTATGAAAACACACAACACGCAAGTCAGTGGACTTTTCTTCATCTTAAGGCAGGCCTAACTAGTTTAAAAGTAAAACAAATTAATTTGTGTTTAAGATACACACATCAATCCATTTCTAGCCAATGGGCTATAATAAATATTTTGTGTTCATTTTTCTTCATAATTACACTAGGACTACAACAGATACGTAGCTACAGAAAACAGAAGAGTTTTACTCATCTGCAAAATGGACTCCAAAAGCAGGGGAGCAGTATAAAAAATGTGCTTCCTCTCCTGCCTGGCATGACAGAGCATCAACTATTCAGGTTTAAAGTAGCGAGTATTCTGTTGTCTGTCCTATGACCTGGCCAAAAGAAGTCCAGTTGACGTGAGACTCTGAAAGGCAGAGAGACCAAATCTGCCAGTGTGGGTGTGTGAACGCGTATGCATGAGAGAGAAAATTACTAGCTTTGGGTAAATTCACATTATCAAAGACACATGTACCTGCATACAGATACTTGCACACGCAGATAGGTGGGGGAAATGTTATGGCACTGATCTGGAATTTACAAAACCGAAAGTTACAACTCACAGCAAAATGAATCCTTTGATATTGATGGGCCCATTTGCGTATTTTGCATTACTGTAAATATTCCATTTAATGTATACTCACAGGTTGCATGAATTTATATTAATAGAAACTATTCTTTATTTCAAATGCAAATGCTATGTGCATGTTCCACTCATGGTATCTAAGTTCTCTTGAAATAAGAGCAGCAGTGGAGAAATGAGGAGTGTTCCTTAGGAAGGTTTGAAATGCATGCAGTATGACATAGCAGGTATGATTTTAAAAGGCAAGATTAGGTCTCATTAATGTTGCCATTTAAACACGCTAAGTTTTCAAAGGACTGTCCTGTTCCTGAAGGAGCACGCCAGCTATTTCCATGGCCAGACAGTCAGCTATGAACACTCCCCAGGTGCCTACATAGAGGAAAAAGCGCACAATGAGTATTTGTGTTACCTGCCCCACTGTGCATATGCCTGATGCTGTAAGATAAGGATATTTGTGCTTAGCATAAACACTGCGAGCAGTTTCATTGACATCAATGAGATCACTTCCATGCTAATGCTACAAACCCACTTCAGTGATCTCATGAATTGACGCGTGTGTGTTATCAACATCACAGCCAACCTGAGAAGTGGGAGAAAACACAATCCTCACTGAGGGACGGAGAGAATACAAATCACAACCGGCTCAGTGGCAGAGAGGAACAGAGAGAAATTGTTCAGTCTCAATGTCCATCAGTCGATGGTTTATCCACTGGGAATGTGTAAGGTGTGCATACTGGCTGCATCAATGCTTTTGTAATTTGGAGACCTGCCTACAAGGAACTTTGCAGATCATCAGTTCATTCAAAATTTTACTCTAGAATTTATTCTGAAAATATAGATCACAGCTTCTCACTAAGTAAATTCTTTGGTTAGTCCAGACAAGAAACAGCCTGGTTATCTTCATATGGAAAAACACAGTCTGTCCACTACCCCCATCTCAAAGGCAGATCACTCAAAATACCTGATGCACAAACTGTGATGTATGTATCAAGAAGACCTGATCAAATCCTATGCTGAATTACATGTCCACTGCATTGACTTAAATTGAGTTATGTGTGGACATAAACTAGCACAGAGGCAGAACAGTCCACAGGCAGAGAACATTTTTCTTCAACAAAATCCTCGCTGTTATTAACACACTTCTGAATTTACCTGCAGGAAGTCCTCTCTAAGAGGATGCCTCAGTGAGGCAGTCCAACCACACCAGAAAGAGGATACCACTCCTTAAGCTCAACCACCTTAGAGTTTTTCAAACAGAAATTGGCACACTGAAAAAAGTATTTTGCAAGAAGAGACCATTGCCATCGCAGTACAAGCACCTGGACTGAGATACAACAATGCAATATTCTTCTGAGTTCATTAGTGCAAGTTTCCACATGTGAACCCCACACGGAATGCTGCACATGACAAAAATGTAAACAACAGAGAAGTTTCTAATTCTCATCGGCGTGCCAGCCTCAACACTCCCCACCCCCCTTCATATAAATGGTTTTGAGTTCCCTTATAGTTCACAATCCCCTCCTCAACATCCATCCTGCTGGAGAACACAAGCAAGCTTCTTCACCAGCAAGGAAGAACCAGAAGAACAGCTACCACCATTCCTAGATACCTAGAAGGAAGCTGGGCAAACAAAACTTAGGATGCCAGACCCAGAGATCAACTGCAATAGTTTGGAGACCTCCAAGGCTTTGTAAAGTCTCCTCAGGTATCCTGGACTACTAGAAAGACCCTTTATTACAGCTGGAATCCCAAATGCTGTGGTTTTCCTTGAAGCTGAAACCAAGTGAGGCTCCAGTACTCCAGATGACTGGCAGCACTAGCAAGAATTACTTGTCACTGATTCTGTCAACAGCATGACTTAAAGCCCATGCCACGTCTTCTGACTATTTCTCTTTTAGTTGAAACTGGCTGGGAAACGAGCAACAGAGTACAATAAAACCCAAATGGCACCTCTGAAGGATTGTTACGCTCATACTGTACCCAAAGACTAGGAGGCTGAAGCTCCTCAGTACCTCTGTTTTGAGACGGGAGACTCAGAGGGTCAAGTCTTTGAAGGCATCGAGCACCTTCAACAGTGGATTTGATGTCAACAGAACACGCAAATGCATAATGCCATCTAAGATCAGGTATACTGTGAGCTTCAATACAGTCAAAGGAGTTAATAATATCTTAGGTTGCCCCTCAACCTACACAAATAATGTTTTCATTTGATTATATACTCTCCCTGTCAAAATCACCATAGCGAGGCTGACGGGAGAAGGGGCTAAATATGATAATATACAAAAATAGAGATGCGAATATAAAATGGTTTGGTTAAGAATATCTTAAAATTTGACATTCACAGCGGTTAATACTAAAGTATTAAACTCATACCACGCAAAAGAGGAGGTATGTCAAAATCATACTGAGAAAAACTGGCTTTACCTAACACAAAGAAATCATGAGCAGTTAATACAGCATGGGAACCCCTTCCAATCATAAAAAGATCTATTTTTTAATGGATAGTTGCTCCACTGAAAGTTAAATGCTTCCTTACTAGAAAAAAAAATTATATATTTTTATATATATAATATGATTTGTATACTGTGGAATCAATATACACTGAAAGTACTGCAAGGATATATTATTAATTTACAGTAAAACTAACAATCCACGGTTAAATTTATAGTTTATAAATATGCTGTCTATATTATATGTGGTATAAAAATATTTGACATTTTGTGGGCACTAGGTCAAAATAAGGTTTTCTTTTTTAAGGGACTAAAAATCATTCAGGTATATGCGTATTACCCTTGTCAATTACGTGAAAATCGTACTGACCTGGTACAAAACAGAATCCTACCGTCTTGGCAAAATGAAGAAGGTAATGTATAGCACGATACTCACTGCGTCACAAGGCTAATTAGGAGGAAAAAAAAATTTACAGCAGCCCAGTTCGAGCAGTACTTTAAATAAGGATATCACTATTTAAAGTGACACAGGCGTGAAGAAAGGATGCAGAAAAGATGGGAAAAGCTAAACAGAAAAAAAAACCAAACTTTAAAATATACCTAACAAAAATCATTGAAAATCCACAAGCAAGGAGAGAGCTCTAAAAGCTCTAGTTTGGTAAATGCATTATGGCAAAACGGAGGTGTATTCATCTAAAGGAAATAAAAAAAGTGTGATCATTTTTCTGGATTCACTGCTACGATTGCTGTATTCCTGTAGAAAACAAAGCCCTTTGTGTAAGGTTAGTATCTGTCCTGACTGCGTTTTCAAGTTTAACTTTAGTTGCTGGCCCTCTGTAGTTAACATAGAGGTTATTTGGCTACTTCCAAGTATCTATGGTATACTGCTCTGAGACGGACTTCTTTATTATTAGTTACTTTAAACATTTTTGGTATTGACAAACCCCACATCTCACCTCGCTGGACAAGTAACACATCCCGGTCCTTCCATTTCCTTATGTGCTCAGTCACTTCACTGGATTAAGGCATGTTTTTGTGTTCCATTTGCAAAAATAAAAACTTTTTGTACAAATGTCTGGGTTCTTTTATACAAAAATTTTTCTTCTTATGGCACAAGCAGCAGTTGCTGTTTAAGAAAATATATAAATATCCTTTTTTTTCTTCTGTACAAATATCTTCAGTATTCCTCCACCCCATTTAATAACACTTAACTGTACACTGTCCTACCTCCTCCCTCGCCGAGAGCTTGCTCCCTCCCCCCTCCCCAGTAGAACACTTTGTATTTACACTTTCACGGCGGAGGCAGATAACGGGGCGGGGGGGCTACCTCTCATGAGGAGTCCGTGCAGGGGGACGGCGGCGGTGGGTAGAGATGGTGAGAGTAACTCCGCTCCGTGTACGGGGAAGGCGGGCAGCTTTCGTAGTTCTCCTCTGCTGACAGGTACTGGCTGCGCGGTGTGGGCGGAGGGGGGACGGGCTCTGAGTCATAGTTCAAGTCACTGGTATAGCCCTTGGCCGTCGCTGCCGTGACCCTTCGGCTGGGGGCATAGTCACTGTCACAGACATCCGTGCTGCAGGGCGTCGTGGGAGGTGCAAAATGCCGGTAGCTGTAAGGCCTGTAGCTGTGGTGGAGAGATATACGGGAAAAGTGTTGGCATACAGAAAGACTGCGCATTTTGGGCGATGAACAAGCGAGCTGCAGATAAACCAACAAGGAAACAGAGAGCAGGTCAACCTCTCTGCAGTAGATACACGGTATTGTGCTCTTCTCCCTCTAACACCACAAGCTCACTAACTCTCCTGCAGAAGGCCCACCTTTGCGCTAGAGTTATAGCGGCTAGAGAGAGGGATACTAATTATTAATTATCTACTGACAAAAGGCTCCCTAAAACGTTAGCTGAGGTAGAAAGAGTTGCTCCTAAGACAGTGGAACTGGAAGAACATGGGGCAGGAGGACAGGGGCAGAAATAGCTGTGTTGTAATTCATATTGTGAAGATATTCTGTTTCCATTATCCAGTTTATGGATACTAAATTCTAAGCCCAGATAGGGAGACTGAGCATCACTGGGTACATTCATAGCAGTCGGGAGAATCACTCACGAGAGCAGTAACTGGGATGGAATTCCCAAAGGCTGCTGCCACAAAATATCTTTTAAAAATGAGCCCAAGATCATTTAAAGAAAACAAATTAGAAAGGGAGGTGCTTGGTAGCTACAACTACCAGCATCAAAATCAGTTTTTGGGGTGGGTGGGAATGCAGCTTCAAGTTAGACTGTTAGGAAAGACTGGAAGATCAGAAGCAGCAAGGCTAGGGTTTTATTTTGGGGTGGGGGAGCATCAAGAAAACATTCAACTCTACACTACATACCTAATACTATTTAAAATACTAAAAGTCACATGAGCTAACCAGTAGTCACAGCATGATTCCTACCAGTGCCAAAAATTGGGTTTATTTAATTAGAAAAATACTCATAATTTTAAAAGATTTTTCATATGGCTGCAAGGGACCATTATAAACATCTGGTCTGACCTTCAGCACAACAGAGGCCATATTTTCTGCTAATGGAGAAGAGATGTCTTTTCAGCCCCAGAGACCTCATTATATGAAAGCCCCCAAAGGCTCTGCGTTAGGGAGGCATTTCTTTCAACAGACAAATACAGTGCTCTCTTCTCATTGACCAGATCTGCTCGTGATTTGGGAGGGAAACCTTTACACCCTTGGGTAGGAGGTCTGTCTTTATTTTTGGCAACTAGTTATAAAATAATGAACTCTAAACAGCATCTTAATGGAGAAGGTGAGAAAGACACATTCAAGTCAACAGAGATAAAGTTTGCATGGCCATAAATATTAGTCAGAGAAAATAAGCACAAGGTTAGCAAAGTTTTTCAGACATTAACCCATACTATGTCAAATTAGAATTTCTGTGCTTTATCTAGGTCATAATATTAATGTTGCCTCCGATCTACTAGCCTTTATATTGCCAACGTTCTTCTGCATGGTGTTTGCATTTAATTTTTGATAATTACACAATTTATTATTTACAACAGAAGCCTAAAACAAGGCAGGGCTCATTCCAGGGTAAGCCGCTTTAGCTCGAAGTTATCACGGTACCGGGTTTCTTTACGCACTTAGCTAATTTTGTGATGAGTACTGTCATTCCCCTAAAGCAATATACCCGAGACGTGTACCACTAACCCATTTACTGTATGATTTACCTCAAACAGTGCTACACTTATATGCATGCTTCAGTGACACGATACATGTGAGCCCATTTAAGCACCTGTTTTAGTGCTTGCAGAATTAGGGCCTTTGATTGCAATTCTTACGGAGCAGAGGCTGTCTTTATTCTGCATTTTCTACACTAACTGCTTTGATCCTGATGGAAGCTATTGTAATAATAATTACCTGTAGGATCTATGAGTGGATGGGCTGTTTGAAGAATAACCAAATTCCATGGTATAATGTGAACGTTCAGTAGCTGGTGATGGAGGTGGGTTCAAAATCTAAGGGGGGGGGAGAAATTGCAGTTAAAAAAACCTCAAAGATACGACGGAGAATCAAGAAAACATCAGGTTATAAATTTCTTTTTAGTACTGTTTCATAGGAACCTTAAGTTAAGAATTCCATGCATAACCCCTCCTCACAAACAGGATTTGTCTTCTGTATATTCCCCAGTTCTTTAATAGACACTGGAAACACTGCTTGTTACCATTTCCACAGAAGCCATTACTAAGCTCTTCTCAGAAACCGCTGACTGCTGTTGCTATTTTGACATACCCAGTGCTGAAAAGTAAAGTTGAAGCTAGCTGTTCAATACCAGACTGTCACTAGGGATACCATCGCCCTAGGCAAACTAGCAGATGTCTGCTCCTGCTCGCTTGTAGTCCCTAAGTATTATGCTGCTTATAATATTTGCAGCGTGCTGTCCAAGTGCTGGGTTAAACCATGACACCAAGGCAACCATTTCTTCCCTATGCAAGCATGCTCTTACTGCAAACAGTATTTTGATTAGTTTAAAGATATAACCTGATGCGTTGATTTTTGGAACTGAAAACAGACAGTTGAAGATCTCAGTATGCACTGACCGAGCATGTAATGCTTTGAGACTTGACAGTCACTTGGTGGACTTCATATAAAAACAGCAGGAACAACCACCTGCTGATCTGATGCTAGAAGTAAAGACACAGGGAGCCCTCTAGAGCTGGTACTAACTCTTATACAGCATCTAGTGCAGCACACTGTCTAGGTGTGACTAGAGGAATGCTATGGAGTTGCAAGACACGTGTTTATTTATCTGTCACTTGCAAGACATGTGACACACAATTTCATCTTAATTCCTCGAAAGGTCTATAAAAAACCAACCATAGCCTTACCTCCAGAGGCACATGGCAGAGTATAATGAAAGGAGATCGCTCTGCCAGAGCTGCTCAACATTTATAGGGATTCGTTCATCTCCCCCGATAATTCAACCTAACATCTTTTTCTGGCACTAAGCTCTCTCACATTTATAGGGATTCGTTCATCTCCCCCGACACTCAATCTAACGTCTTTTTCTGGCAGTAAGCTCTCTCACAACTTTTTAAAATTAATAGAAAATTCCTATAGTGTTTCTGAAGAAGACAATCTCCTCTCCCTTCCATTTCAAAATCACTTACTCCATATTCAAACAAGTTTATTAGGCTAGAAATCTAAAACAAAACATTCATCTGTCAATTTATTATCCTCAGAAACTGGCACTTCCCTGAAAGCTATTAAAAGTCTATGAATAATAGAATGACTTACTGGAGGAAAGTAAGTGCCTTTGGTACTTGAAGAACTGCTGGAAGAGGCTCCAGTGACATGGGCTCTGTCATACGGTGGCCCACTGCTCCCTCCCATGATGCTGAGGGAGCTGATCACAGATTTACCTCGAGACATCCCTAAAGAAGAAAGATGTATGTCAATATTCAATTCTTTGAAGCAAACGGAGAAAAGGAAGCTTAAAAATTATATGAGATAAGAGCAGTGTAAGTACAACTCCTAAAACAAAAATTATTCTTGGTATTAAGAGCAAATTCAGTCCTCCTTAATAGACAACTGGAATGAAAACTGTCAGGGAATAAACACGTTGGTTTTGTGTATCAGCTACTCAACTGCAGGACTTGGCACCGGGCTATACTAGAGTTGCGTGAAGAGAAACGGATTTCTTTCACTTGAACAGCTGGAAAAGACTTGAGAGAACAGGCATTCAGACACTATTTCTATGCCTCAGAATAAAACATGAAACTGACTCTGACCACCTCAACTGAGCAACTGAAATTTGTGCGCGAGAAGAGAAGGTTTACGTTCTTTTATTTCCACACTGTTAAGTGAGCTTTTGCTACTGGACTGAAACATGCTGGCAGAGAGTCCAAGCAAGAAATGGAGAGGTATGCCACTGTGCTCGAAATAATGGTGAAAATTCTGCTCAAAGACTCTCTTTATGGAAGCAGGTTATTACAGAAAGCAAAGAAATTTGGTGCATTATTTTAACCTTGTAACGGCCTCACAGAATATCTGTGCTCTGACTGAAGCCTGCTGGAACCAAAGCCACAGCTTACAGTACATATTTAATCAATATATACACAAACAATGCATAGAAATGAAAGGCAACATTAAGGTTAAGTCTTTCTTTTAGAACAGCAGCAGTATCATGCAATTGGACTAGTGTTGAAAACTCCACTATCAAATGAAATAAGCTAAGACCACAGTTATTGCTGCTTTTTACAGACTTTACAAGAAGTTTCACAAGCGTACAAACCTAGTCTAACAAGAACAATTACATAATGTTTAAAGTCCCATGAATATGACTGCGTAACCTCACCTTGTACTGTCATGATACCTTGCTGATACTGTAACAGTCCAACAAGGAACTTATTTAGCAGCAAAAGAAGAGAACTCCTACGGTATGTGTATCCATTTGAGCTTACAGTTCTGCTAAGTATCTAAATGTTCATGAACAGCATAGGCAAAAAACAGCAGTTCAATATTATAAAGAAGGATGGCGACAAGGCTTGACAGTCCTGGCTTCCAACAGCTCCCAAGAATTACGCATCTGGAACAATCGTCTCCTGTGCATACATGCCCAGTATCCTCAGTAACAACTATGTGGTACCAAAGAGCAAGACAAGGACCACACCATTTACTCACCAGGAAGAGACCCTGATAAAGAGCTTGGGTGAGGCACATAACCAAGAGGTACAGAGGCTGGTCCATGCACTACGTAATCATTGGTCATTGTTTCCCCATCTCCCTTCATGCGTGGGCACAGCACCCTCTGGCAGATGAAATACATTGCTCCAACCACAAAAACTGTAAGGATCACACCAATGATGGAGCCTATTGTGTTGTTGGGCTGTGGCGCAGGCTCCTCTGTTGTGTCTAAATGGAAAAAGGAAAATCAGACCATGTAAATTAATCCAACAGCTCCACATACCAACAGTAGTTTTCCTGGCATCTTCCCACACGTGAAAAATAAAAGCCTACTCTTCTGTAGGCAGACAACAGCTTTCAAATTAATACATGGGAAGAACAAACAGGCACTGGCACAGGTCTGAGTGTCCATAAGGGCTACCTGTGCACAAGATGACCTCCACACACGCAGAGGTGTTTCCGAATCACAAGTGACAGGAAATGAACAGTACACACAAGTGCAGGGGGAATGATGAACCAGGTCCTGATCTTGCTTCATGCTGACAGGCAGGGATATCCTTTGAACTGGATGAACAAGACCTGCAGCCATGACTCCAGATGGCACTGTGCTGGGGACTCCAGTTATGCTTTTTCTTGTCATTAAAGATGATAACAACAACTTTTCATGTTGCACCTCATCACAAGCACCTCGGTTATCACTCAGTGTAACAGACTGGCAGTCCCTTTTCTCAACTGTGTAACATTCACTTATGCTGAACAGTAGTGGTGATGCACCAATGATTAATTTTAGGTTTGCTGCTATTTATTGAACTACTTAACCTACGCCACATCTGACTCACACTGATGGTTACAGACACAACTGAGCAACAGCTTCAGAGGTGCCAGCCTTGTGAAGAATCTGTATCCAAAATAATTATTCAACAGTCAAAATGAGTGGCTTTCCCTA